TCCTCCTCCCCTTCCTTCTTATCCGAAGCAAAGAAATCTTTCCACAGCCTCTAGAGCTACTTCATCCTGGTTTCTGCAAATGTCTGAGAACCTACTATGCTCCAGGCTTTTGCAAGCTGCTGTCAGAGGCCTGAGATAGTCGGCAAATCGCTCGGCAACCCAGTGGAGTCAGTACCAACGTCCCCATTCTCCGGTTGAAGACACTGAGGCCCAGAGAAGTCGAGCCAGCGGCCCAAGGTCACCCAGCAGATACTCAAGGCCAGCTCTGCCTGTTCCCAGTCACCCCAAAGGCTTTCATGGGGAGAGGAGCTTCCTTTTCCAGGATCCCCAAAGGTTCCTGAGGAATAGCGCCCAAGCCCCAGATGCCCCTCTAACTCCTGGACATTCCCCTCCTTGGTCAATCCTCTCTTGGAGGCCATATACTCCGTCCCCGTTAGCTGTTCACCTTCCTGAAGGTAAAAGGAATCCTCGCTGCCGTCTGCCCAGCACTTTCTTGAGTCTGTGAACAGCCCTCCGCTCATCTGAGCCCTTGGAGGTCAGTGGGGCAGGGAGCTGTGTCCTCATTCCACAGCTCTGGAAGTTGAGGGTCGGGGAGGAGAGTGACTGCCTCAGGGTGCTGGTCCCCCAGCTAGTGAGCTGATTTCCAGGAGCCTGAATGTAGGGTATGTGAAGCCCCCTGCCCAGCGTGGAAAGCCCCCAAAAGAGCCCGCCTCCCTGTGGAAAACGGTCGAATGTTCTAGGCTCACCCCTCCAGGCTCCAACTTGGATATGGGTCAGCTCGACGGCCAGCAGCCCGTGCACCTGCCATGTCGCAACCCAGACCTTATCCCACCACCTCTTCTAGCTTTGGCTCCTCCCATCCCAGGCCAAGGCAGGGCTTGCGTGGCTCGCAGGGCCCCCAGAGTCCTGCCAACAGCTCCCCAAACTGCCGAAGCCCTGGAGGTCACAGGACTGTATGTGGGGAGAAGCGGAACAGACATTTCACACACACACACACACACACACACACACACACGGGTCTGGCTCCTCTCTGGGTCTCGTACGCGTGGCCCTGGGACCTCCGTCCCTCAGTTCCCAGTTCCCCCAAGCCGCTGCTAAGCATCCTACTGGCCTTGAGGGCCTCACCTGCCAGCTTAGCCAGGCTGCCCTGCCTCCGGTGCCTCCATCACACTCCCACCTACCATCTGCCTGTATTCTCTCCCCATCTCACAGCCTAGGCACCCACGGCAGAAGTGTGGTGTTGATGCCGGTGGGGAGGCAGGGAAGTTTCCCCGCTCAGGGGTTCATTCAGACCTCTTTCCTTGGGGCTCTCCTCCAGAGAGGGAAAAGCAGCCCTTGCCTCTCTCCACAGTCTCTACCTCATTCACTGGACTGCACCCTGGGCTCACCTGGCCCAAAGTAGGTGCTCAGAGCATGAGAAGTGGGACGTTGTCGTCTTCTGTCAGATCAGAGGGCCAGGGCCCTTTGCAAACAGGTTGCAGCTGGGGAAGCGGAAAGGGGACCCCCCCCCTCCTTTGCCACAAGTCACCTGCCTTGAAGCTCCTCAGAACGGGCTGACAACCGGGGGTGGGTGGAGGCAGGGAAAGGTCGTGGCCGGGGCAGGAGGTCAAGGCCTCTTCCACCCACCTCTCTCGGCCTTTCCGGCCACAACCCAGACAGACCTTCACGCTCCCCACCGACCGACCGACCGACCGAGCGACAGAGCTTGCCAGCTCCCGGGGAGTCGCCGGACCGCGCTGAACGCGCGCCTGGAACCCGAGACCCGCGGGGATAAGGCGCTCAGCGGGCGGGGCCCACGGAGCCCAGCCGGGACACACAGACACGCACGCGGCCGGACGGACAGACGGACGACGCCAGCGGTGGGCGTGGGCCCGGCTTACCGCGGGGCGGAGGTTCCGACGAAGGTCCAGGAGGCGGCGAGCGGGCTCTACATCCCCCGGCGCGGTCGGGCGGGCGGCGTCCCGGGCGGGGAGAGGGGAGTCCCGGCGCCCCCTCCCCGCGAACTCGGCGGGCCGGCCCCGCCCCCCTCCCCGGCTGCAGGTGGACGTGTCCGTCGGTCTCCGGGTCTCCGCGCCTCCGGGCCGTCCCGCGCCGCTCCCCGC